GATGGATAACCATCTAGCACTTCAAAGTTAATCTTGAAGGGGATTTAATAATAAAAAATAAAATATTCAAATTCTTTAAAATCTACATCCATACCTATTTTATTATGATGTATATTTTTACCTAAACTGCCCTTCATAGACTTGTTAGGGCAGTGAAAACTTGGGTCCAAAGACCTTCCACGATAGGCCCGTCTCTTGAGCCTTACCATCCTAAAGGACCAATAGGACAGTGAGGGTGGTCCCTTGATCCATACGGTTGATCGCCATAGTCCTAATAGGACCATGATGGTCCAACGACCTTATTGATAGACCATGGTCCTAAAACCATGATGATACTTTATGGTGTTATGGGTTAAGTGGGATGAAATGACCAGCACAGTCTTATTATGACGGTGATGGTCTATCAAGGTCATTAAACCATCACATCGTAATAGGACCATGACAGTCCTATTAGACCATCACATCCTAATAGGACCATGACAGTCTTTTTAACACGATGAGGATCAAGAAACCAAATTTGGACCGTTAATGTTTTATTACGTCGAGGGAATTTTGGGTTAAATATACAAATTATGACAAAAATGGGTATGGATGTAGATTTTAAAGAATTTAAGATTTTTAAAATTTTTGGGAAAAAAAACGACTTTTTTTAATAATTACTCTTTGAGCACCGAACCATGTCACACTTTTGTTTTCATTTTAACGTTAATCTTGGATATAGATAGGGATGTCTTGAGAGTATTGGAGTCCATCAAATCCCTACAAAGTGTTTCTAACCAGCAATGTGATGGGCCATGTGGCCCATTGTAGACCATATGGATGGGCGGTTTGTTGGGTCCAGGACATTAGTGTGATGTTAAAAATAATAATAAGAGAGATGTTATTCGTTGTGCGTATGAGTGAGTGTCGGTTTTCATTGAGAGGTGTTATAGGTTAAGCGTGTAGCTTTTAGAGAGAGTGTATTTTGGGTGAGTAGTGTATTTTAGGTGGTTGTGTTAGAAAATATTGTAATATTTCTTTTTAACAATAAAAATCAATGTTTTTTTCTTTTCATTGTTGTGCCGGATTTTACAATTGGTATTAGAGCGTCCACACAACTCTACAATCAGAACTGTCATATCATTTCTCAATCAATGATGGAGAGTAGGACCCACCATACGAGTCATGTTTAAGCTTCCCCGTCTCTCCATCATTGTAGACCACTGAATGGACATTGATTAATACCTTAGTTATAAAAATAGCAAAGGTGATGCCTCTTACTAAAAAACCAAATTATTCTCCTACCACTTGACGCACTCGATCGTTGAAGACTTGTGTGTCATTCATGTCCATTCATGGTTGTCATTGTGTTAATGGAAGAAATGTGGGATTTAGAAGCACTTGAGGATACACATGTTATAGCGAATCCCTCGTTCCAAATCCATCTTGAGATGGATATTGGGTCCATGACTTTATAGGTCTGTCATCTAGACCACCATAACCATGAATCTGAAAAAGAAGTAGGGGAGGCTAATTTTAAGACTTAAAAAGAGCATTTTTATGCCTTTTTTTTTTTTAAAGAACCATTAATTTCAATTCTTCAAAATTGATAGAGCCACATTATTTTTGGAGCTCGAAATTCATGTATCTAAACTTAAAATAGATTCACGGTGATTTGACATAGCTTATTGATCCTAAATCCTTCAACATTCAGACTCACCTAATTCTTTTTCCTGAAAAAAAAAAAGATCCAATAGAATAAGTCAGAGTCTACCATTATCTTACATGGAACTCTTGTCATCCCCAGTTTTAATGTGGGGGGGAGTTTATATAGAGCTGAGGCTCTAAACAATCAAATTTGAGCCTACCTCAAAAATTTCATTAGATGAAGTTCTTTTGATGCCCAAATATCCTCAAATTGATCATATTGACATCAAGATATATATGGACATGAGAAAAAAATTGATTTCAAGTTTTTTGAAATTATGTATTTTGTAAGACATTTTTTTATCGTCAATTTTCATGATTTTCAAATTTTTATAGATCTGTTGATCAACACTATTTTTGAAACTTTAAAATTTGTAAATAAAGATAAAAATATATTTTAAGGCTATCATAAATATTTTCGGTATTAAAACCACATTTCTCAACACCATTAGAAGGTAGGCCCTAATTTGATTGCTTAGAGCCTAGGCTCTACACAATCCGCACCCTTAAATGGTAATTAATCCCTTAATGTAAGCTATAGGAGTGCCATAGTCTATTTGGCAGTCACCATAAAAACAATTCTTTGATCATGATAAAGGACATATAGGTTGGTGGAGTCTTGTACAGAATCATTTATATATTATTCATGTACGAAGTCGTACTTGGAAGCCAATTATATATTTAGTTAAATGAATATATTATTATTATTTAGAGAACAAAAACTACAATTTTGACCCTCACACCATGAAGATACGAGGAACTTAACTATATAACTTATCTTATCATTCAGAAAGGAAAATGCTTGGGTAGGGCTGCAGCCCTTTAGCGCCTTACCTCAAAATTTATTGAAGATTATAGTTTTAGTATCAAAAATCTTTCAAATCGATCATCTCGACTTTGGCCATCATAATTATAAAAAAACATTAGCATTTCTAGCCCCAAATATAATATATATTATAACGCATAATCTAGACTACCCATTTCACCCTAAAAATGAGTATTTATAGATACATAAGGTCTATACCATTTTTTGAACTTCATGTTTAATATTCAGTGTCGGAAATTAGTTTTAGAGCATCTTGGAGATTTCCGATGCCCAAAGCACTTTTTAAACAAGGATATTCGAGGTGAGGATTTGCATAAAGTATGGACCATATAGAAACTGCATCTAAAAAAGAAAATTTTTTTTTAAGGTAAATATCTAAAAAGAAAAAACTATATATACTGTGTCAACTTTTGGTGCGCAATGTTCCTTTTATATTTTATTTTTATTTTTCTAACCCATTGGTAGCTGAGTTGCCCACTTTATTTTTTCACTGATTGAATTGCCCTTCTCTTACCTACAAGATAAAATAATAATAATAATAATATTATTATTATTATTATTATATTATTATTGTTATTATTATTATCATAATAATAATAACAACAATAATAATAATAAAATACATAAATAAATAAATAAAAATCAACTTACTTTAAGGCTAAAATACTCAGATTCCCTCTTGTTGCGTACGGAAAAATTCCACCAGCCTTTTACTCTTGTCTCCGTTGGCAGAGCAGCGGGTGGTGCCGAAGTATCTGAGTTAAGTCTTTCATTGGGATGGGTGGCTGGGTTACACTCTAAAAACTAGGGCTTAGGCCATAAAATGTGGCCAAAGGACTAAGCTTGGGCTAGGGCTGGCTTGGGCTAGGGCTGGCTCGGCCCAGCCTTTTTTTTGGCTCGACATGGGCTAGGCCAGCCTCATAGGGACTAAAGTCGAGCTATTAAGAGTGTTGGTCCAAACTATTGCCACCCCTAATCTGCCTTCCCATGTTTCAACTCGAGCGAGTCCTAAGTAGTATATCTTATCAAATAGATTTTAAAGATATTGGAAAACCAACATATTCATGCAATTACGAGATTTTGGGCTTCAAATTACGAACCTCTTGATTTGGTCCTACTTGGATCAGATCTGCAAATTTTTTAAAAATATGGGGTGCCAAAACCACTTATAAAAATATAAAAAATAAAAATTATTAAAAGGAAGTCATACTAGACAAGTGAAGCGCACCTCAAAAATCCATTGGAAAACAATGCTGGAAATTCATTTGATGGATCACCTCAACTTGAATATAAATAATAATAATAATAATAAAATAAAATAAATTTAAGTATCTTCTAACACATCATTTGGATAGTCCAATTTGAAGAACTTTTAAGCGTTTATAGATCCGATGATCCCCTTCACCTTTAAAGTTCACAATCAAGATTTTAAAATCATCATATGAGAGTTTCTCACTTCAGAACTACGTCTTTTTGATAAAGTTTAAACATGTGCCTTACTTCATTTCTTTAATATAATCACCATATAAGAACCACACCCATGTGAAAAAAAATGTTTGGATTTCCATGTATAAAGCAGGGTTTAAAAAGTTGGCCGAGTCATTTCTACACGGCCCAGTTTGAGGTCCAACTCGGAGATTTTAAAAAAACAAAAAAAAATTTATTAAAAAAATAAAAAATATATTTGCAACATTTTTATTTATATTTTTTTATCATTTTGACCATGAATACTTATTTTTGTATGTTCGCATCTTTTTTTAAAAAAATTTAAAACACCGACTCATTTTTCACCATCTAATGTGATTAGTTTTGCTAAACATAGTTTTTCTCATTTTTAAGTATTTTTGCAGTTTTAATAATTTTCATGTGCTACATTACTCGGGTTCACGTCGGACTGGGCCTTGGACGTAGGAGGCTGGCCCGAGTTGACTTTCCGAGGAACCGTCCAACTTTTCCGACACTGGAATAAAGTTATCCAAAACAAAAACACTCGCGCCTTGCTCGTGGTTGTACACTACTAATCGTCCTGGCTTTGATCTTTTTTCAGCCGTCCGATGGCACTATCAATAATAATAACGAAAAGGACCCACAAAAAGACACGTCATCTAGAAGCAGACCAATATCAGTTTGAATTTGACCCTTGCTTGGGCCCCACAAAAGCGGAATTTCCTCCGCGTCACCCCTAGTAAACACCACTCAGCATTCTCTATATCTCTCCACGTGGTCGGCTGAGACCACTCAACACAACATCGAGATGAAATCCAAGGGTTACAGTCGATCCAGATGTCAACAGAGGGACCCGCCTGAATACTGCACATTGTCAACCCCCGCGTTAGCCCCCCGCGATCTCATTGACCACGTGGCGTACACGTGTCACTTCGCTTGTCTTCAAAGGCTTCCCACGCGCTTTGATAGCAACCCCCGCCGTCGATCCATAAATATATAAAACCCCCCCGCCCCCACCGTCCTCACTCAATAGCTCAGCCCACAGACGTTTCGGAAAAAACATTCCGGCCAAATCACGATTATCCGACCAGTACCTCTGTAAAGTACTTATTTGACCAGCATATTTCAGGCGAAATCTCGATGTTTCGTGAATTTTTGTCGATGAAGGCCGATAGTTAGAGATTTCCGATTCATTACTGCAAATTTTTCCTGATTTGTCATTGCCATTTTCTCTCGTATAATCCTGAATCCAATGCCATTTCATTTTGAGGAGGTTGTGAGAGCAGTGTTTAAAGAAACATATAATCTTTTGAGATGGTGAGACCATCATCGTCGAGTGGCACGAGAACGAGGCCGGGAAGACGAGAGAATTCGAGCAGCGACAGTGGTGGCAGTGGCCAAATTTTCAAGGGTGTGAGGATGAGGAAGTGGGGAAAATGGGTGGCAGAAGTCCGCCTCCCGAACAGTAGAGAGCGCATATGGCTTGGGTCCTACGACGCACCTGAGAAGGCCGCTAGGGCCTACGATGCTGCTGTCTTTTGCCTGCGGGGCCCATCCGCAAAGCTCAATTTCCCGGCGAACCCACCTGAGATTTCTGCCGCTGGGTCCCTCAGCCCCGCCCAGATACAGTTGGTAGCAGCCAGGTTCGCTCATGAGGGACCACCGCCTACATCAGGAGCTACGTCAGATTCACCCGGCATGTCGGGGCCAGAAAGACAGGAGCCGTCAGAAGGAAACACGTCGGAACATTCAGAGCCGCTGCCACCGCCGCCTCCGCCCATAGACTGGCCACTGATGGACGAGTTTTTGCCAGAATCCAACGGCGGCGGAGTTTTTCATCCCTCGCTGGAGGGATTCACGGTAGGTAATTTCATTCCGACAGAGGAAGAGGAGGAGGCCCCAGAGGCTGGGGATGCCGGTTATTATGAGGCACCCACTGGTCTCTGGACCTTCTGAGCGGTGGTATTTCGGTAGAGGCAGTGGTGGTGGCAGCGGCAGTGGGGCTTTTCTGTTTTTGACACCGAAACTGGTGGCGCAACTCAATTTTTTTTGAGCCGTTGCGCCACCAGGTTTTGCAGTCCGAAAGTTTCCCCATCTGCAACGCACCTCTCGCTATATCCTTACACTGGTGACTCCCCCCCTCTCTCACTCTAGGAGTGTCCTTCTCTCTCTCTCTAGAACAGAACCATGGTCAAACAAGGTTTTACTATCAGCCCGCGGCCCCACATTTTTACATGGCTGCATCCCTCGAGTTTCTATTTCCACCCCCAGCTCCTACTCTCTCTCTCTCTCTCTCTAAAATCTGCTATTACAGTCCTTTCTCTCTCTTAATTCACTCTTCCTTTCTCTCTCTTAATTCACCCTTCCTTTCTCATGTATTTTTACAGCTCTCTCTCTCTCGCTCTTAGTTATCCAAATACCAACCCCACTCTCTCTCTCTAGAAAAGCAGCAATTACAGTCCTTTCTCTCTCTTAATTCACCCGTATCTCATGAATCTTCACAGCTCTCTCTCTCTCTCTAAGCCAGATATCAACCACTCTCTCTCTCATCTCTCCTGCGAATTTCCCACACGCCCGTGTATCCCGCACGTGCGTATGGCGCACACGTACATATCCTATCGTTTGGCCATCCACAAGGGATATAAGCACGAGGCTAGCTTTTTTCACGTGTGTTTTTCTCTCTCCTCTCACGTGCTGACGTCAAAGTACGTGTTTTCGTCCGTTAGTGCTAACCCGTAGCCCACCCGGAATAATGTTCCCGCCGGACCATTTAGTCATCTCGCGGGAGCATTTAATCATTTGGCATATATGTTGTATTTAATAGGTTGGTATCAACAACGAACTTTGTTGTAATAAAGATTTTTAGTTTTTTTTAGTATTTATCCGTGATGATGTGTGCAAAATAATTTAATTTGTATTTTTCTTGTTGCTTGATGAAAGACAAGGGCCTTGGGGGTCCTCTAAATCGAATAAGGTTATGCAACATATGTTTTATGTTTATGAATTAACAATGACTTGGGTCCGTTATTGCAAAAGTAAACGGATTGTGGATAATATTAACCTCATCCATTTAATATTGATGAATATATTTTTTTTGGAAAGGAGAGGTTGGCAATGATGGGTGGTCTGGATTGCCCACTATAGATTTAGATCTAGATGTCCTAGATCCATTCCAGATTAGGCAAATTGGCAATTTGGATTGGGCAAACGGGTTAGGTTTGGTGACCCAACTTGGCAAGATCCGGGTCAGACCTAGACCTTGACTCAACCCATTGGGTTTCGGTTTTTTCTTCATTTTTTTCCTTTATTTTTTGTTTATTTGCTCAGCCTTCCACTGATAGCGCTAGTGTTAGAGCCCGGCCCCTGACCAGCCCCACTTAACGCATGCTTCCAACCCTCACATCTCCAACTTTAGAATATATTAACTGTTTTTCAAGCTACAAAACATGCCTACAACAAAAACTCTTTTGTTAATGTTTTTTTTCATCATTAACCATAACATGTTGACCATGTTAATTTCTTGAGTTTATAAAATATTTGTGGTTAGAAAATCAAGATAGAGAAGCTCTATACATGGTGAAAAAATTCATAACAACATGGAGAAATTTGGTACCACCTGAGAAAACGTTACAGAAACATTGATTATTAAAGCGATGGGGAAAACAAATCCAATCCTTGGCAAACCTCCATTCAAAAATTCACAACTAAACATATTTAAAGGATTCTTAAATATATCTTTTTTGTTTTTATAGAAGTTATAAAATTTTATTGAAGTAGACTAAAACATAATCCGAAACAATTGTCTCGGATAAAAAAATGCCCCAATGGCAAGAGAATCAACCATCACATTGGCTTTCTGATAGACATGCACAGAACAAAAGGCAAAAGGCCTAGATAAATCCAAGATTTGTTGGCATAGATAAATCCAAGATCTGCAGCAGCATATTTGTAAGTTACCAAGGCGGTTTCTACTCCGTTTTGCACCACCTTATGGCATTTAGGAATCACCTTCGATAACACAAAAGCTGACTTAAATTTCTTGGACTTAAATTTTTTGCCATAAAAAATTTGCAAACCAAAAAGTAGAGCCATAAGTTCTACACGGTTAGCTGTGAAGTAGTGTACAACATGATGAGTTGTTTTAATACCAAGTAGGCCATCATAACTAAAAACAATATTTCCTTCCCAATCCCTAACCACAACACTTAAACCAGCTAATTTCGTTGCGAGCTACCATCAAAGTTAAGCTTATAAACTGGATAAATTGAAGTTTATAAACTGGATAAATTTTTTTTAACGTAAACTTCCATAATATCTTTCTCCACTTTCATAGATACAACCAATTCTTAAATATATCTCAAGCGATTCTCCATGATATTAGTCAAAAAAATATGTGATTGGAGAAATTATAGCACCTATACTATATTGCTGTTATATGGCTGTATATTGTTAGTAGTACATTGTCATTGAGCCGATGGCATACGATGCATACGAAGGTTTTAAAAAACACCGTTCCTATCTGGATTCGCCTGATTTGAGTTGGGCATCATCATAGGCGTTTCGGATCCATGAAAATATCATGATCCGAATGTGTTACTATAGTGAACCGCATGTTATGATATCATGAATTGGATATGTCATCGGTTCCCAAGTGAAAACTGGGATCTGGATGTGTTATTGTGGAGAAGCGCATGTCATGCCATCACAGATCAGACACATTACCGATTCCCAAGTGAAAATTGGACAAGTTACCAGATTAAACGGTGACATGACAATTGGGATTCGGATGTGTTATTGTAGAGAACTGTGTGTCATGATATCAAAAATCAAACACAACAAGGGTTTTTTTCGTTTAAACATTTTTTTTTAAGAAGTTGCATAAATATGAATTTGTAAAAAACAACACAGGCTTAAACAGGTTTTTTTTTTTAAAATGGGCTTTTTTTTTTTTCGCAAGTTTAAACGAGTTTTTTCTTTTGTTTTGATAAGTTACATAAACATGAATTTTTTTTTAAAAAAATAAAGGCAACGAAGGTGCATAAATATGAATTTTTAAAAAACAACACAGGCTTAAACAAGTTTTTTTTGTTTAAATGGGGTTTTTTTTTTTTTCCTGGGTTTAAACGAGTTTTTTCTTTTTTTTTGATAAGTTACATAAACATGAATTTTTTTTTAAAAAAATAAAGGCAACCCACCCACCAAATTATCAGGCACACGTCAAACAACCACAATGTCTTGCTTCTCCATCATTTACTTGTACCAAACAATGGGATTGACTTGCACTCCCACAGTTTTTCAATGTGGAACAATATTGTTTGTCTCTTCTATTAACTAAGGCGCTCTGCAATTGACGCATGTAAGGCTATGGAATAAGACGCTCTATTATCTCTTATGTTATAACCTATTAAATAAGACGCTCTTTTCTTTTTTTGTCGCTGTTGTTCAAGTTGACGAGAGGCATTTTTTTATTTTTTAAATTTTGATATCTCTATTTTTCATTTTTTAGGATTAAATTATTTTTTTGAATTTTTTTAATGTTATGACATTAAAATTTATTGGGGGTTTTCTTTTTAATCATATGATAGTGGAGCGTTTTTTAATAATTTTTTAATCATGCTATTATAATATTATAATTAATAATTATTTATTGATAATCAAATCTTGTATTTTATTTACTAATGTATTTGCATTATAAATTATGTAATATAGTATTTTTTTTATAGTTGTAAATAAGATTTTTAAAATTAGATGATATTAGAAGACATTTTAGATTTGTTATTATTTGTAGAGTAAAATAATTATAAAATATAAGCCAACAATTTCAATTTCAGTATATAATATTATAGTTAGTTAGGTTGTGATAAGTTTGGATGAGTAAAGCGAATTAATAAATATTTGATACTTTCATGTGATCCTATTTTCACTTTATATGAAATTTTTTTTAATCTTCTAATATGAGAGTGTTTTCTAATATTTTTAAATTATTATGATGCAATTATACTTCTATGTTATAATTAAAAATTATACAGACATCCACACAGGAAAACATCATCTCGGTATTCACCTAGTTTTACAAAGTAACAAAAATACATAATGCATTAATCTTAATTTATTTTAGAAACTAAAAGAACACTATTTTTAAATATATATAGTAATTTTTTTAAAAAAATTAGGACAAAACTTGTCGATTCAGCCAATTCTTTGATTTGACATGGTTTTTTTGGTGGACAACATGGGTCACTGATCTGCACTACTTTTTATTAATAGAATTCACAAGATTTAATAGATTTGTTTGATCTACACTATTTTTTTATTCTTACAGTTTTATAATTATATATGGAAGTAGAGTTTCAAGTTATTGAAGGGATTTCTAGCAATATACATGCATCTTTAGGCAGAGTATGATGGTGCACGATACTTTGATTTTTTAAAGTGGATCATGTTAGATTACTCATATATATATATATATATATATATATATATATATATATATTACTATTATGACTACTACAACTACTTTAGGTAGTACTAGTATAGTTAGTATACCTATTACTTATTACGTTAGTTTAACGTTTTTTAAGGTTTATTTATTAT